CCCACTACGTGTCGTATCGGCGTATTTATCCAATGCACGCGCGTCCACGCGACTCGATTCGTAAACTGACGTGTTGTCGCCCGCGCGGCGTTACATCCGGCGACGATGATTTTCGCCCATCGATGTTTAAACGGTCTCTCGGCCGATGGTCACGTAATGTTCGTGATAATTTCATCCGGCACGTTTCCTCGTAACGCGCGTCGATCAACAATGGCCGAACGGGTCGCGCGTTCCTGCGCATTTTCAATTTCCCTTCATTAAGCGCGATTGTCCTTCGCAGAATGCTTAAAGCGGTCGGACGGGGACGAGACGAGACGAGGGTCGAGCTTATGGTAGCCGTGGCACGCGGTGCAGTTCGACCGTTCCCGAAGCTTGACATTTCTCCCGGATTCTGGTACGACGATACGTCTGCTACTCTCTTGCGACGCACTTGAAAACCGTCGCGCCCTTCGAATTCACGCGCGATTCACGAATCCGTCCACCGTTGCGCGAGGATGCTGGTGCAATTCTGAATTCAATTTCTTCCGTGTCTTCACCGAGAAATACTCGGTGGTTCCGAGAGCTTTTTGTAGTAGGATTATCATTTTACACAATGTTGAAGGATCGGTGAATTGTAATTAGACCGTGGATTTTTATGGAAATTCGTAGTTTAAAAGATTGAACGAAACCATTTGTTTTTTAATATTTTATATCATGCGTAAAAGTCCAATTGTTATAGTTATGACAAGATATCACGCCGTGCGTGTATCGTTAGGGTTATGGCAATGAATTTTATTTCGTTAGATCATCGCTTTGATACAGAGATATGAAAAGAAACACTGTCGATCTTTGAATTCTTGTAACCATGGAAAAGAAAAGAAAACTGTGATTACTTTAAAGAAGAAAATTAGAGAAATAAATTTCCCTTTGTCTTTCTTGCAAGAAACATTTCGCACTTGATGTGAAACGCTGTAGTTTTTCTTTTCTAGTATAAATATCACGTTAAATACTCTTTTTTTAGGAAATATTCTTTTTTTTTTTTAATTCTTATGAGCGCTGCTACTTGTTATAAGATTTTAATGAAATGCAACTGTTGGCTTTGTTTTAATGTATCACGTTCCAGACTCTGGAAGTGTGAAAGTGAACGCAAGTTCCAACTTTAGCCATGCAAATTTACACGAGAGAAGCCTCTTTGAGGTATAGTCAGAAAACATCCAAAAAGTGTCGCCGAGAGAGTTAGAAACGGAGCGAATTAACCGAGGGCTTACGACGCCCGTAGCAGACAGACTTAATGGTTGTTACCAAAATATTTTATGGTGTACGCTCAAAGACCGATGCCGGATTTAGGACGAAGGTCGTGAAGTCTCGCGAATTTCACGATTCCAATTTCAGAATTCCTGTCGTTCGACTATCAGAGAAGCATACCTTATTTTTCATTTCTTTTGATCTGCATCTCGCTTATTTCATTATTATTATTAAACTGGACACACCGAGGAACGTGCTCGCAATAAAATGAAAGTCAATCTCTGAAATTTAAAATTAAGGTGTAAATCTATAATTTAATATTATGATAGAAGGGCCCTGTAAAAATTGGAGATTAGCGTGCTTTTTAGTTTCATCGCGCAAGTACATGCACAATATTCAATTTTTCCAAAAATAAATTACTCCTACGAATTTATTTGTTACAAAAGGTAATAAATAACGTTCGTATACGCGTATTATCATCCTAGTTCTAATTAAAAGAGGCAATTTGCCTCAAAACTTTTTTAATATCTCGTACCTACAATTTTGCAAGTTCCAATATAAAGTTAAAGTTATAAAAATAGAGTTCCCGGGGGTTAATCATCTCGGAGTGAATTTCAGCAGGAAATTGCCTAATATACTCTCTACATGTCTCTAAAGTTTCATAATATTCTGAACAGTCATCTCTTGTAAAAGGAACTAAATTCTTTCCAATAATAAAAGTGACCGACGATTTTCAAAAAGAAAAATTTATCTTCCTTCCATATATACTTTTTCCAATCACAAAAGTTTCTTGAATTCGTATCCCTAATTCCACATATACTTTCTCATTATATAACCATATATACATTTTCTAATCGCACAAGTTTCTTGAATTCGTGTCTCTAATGAGCATAGCGAGCTTTCATAAAAGTTCTTCCCTTTTTTTATCGTCATAAAACGCTGCATGTACCAGCTACTGTAAGTACCTGCAATTTCCAATAATGCCATGTCTACAAAATTTTCACGCGTTATTTCACTATTTTAGTACCTAGCGGGTCTAATAAAGAGGTACCAGCTCGAAGCAAGGCAAAACGGCAAAAAAAAAAAAAAAAAAAAAAAAAGAAAAAAAAAAAGAAAAA